GGATTGGAGTTGCTAAATCTTCGCCTCCTCGCCCCTCCTCGCCTCCCCGCCTGCCGCGATCCGTGGTACGTTTATCATCGGACGGGGGGCGTAACTGGGAAGCTCATCGCACACTGTATACTCATTATATAATTTCAAATAAACAAAAGTGGCAGTTAAGCGGTGCCATAAGCTATCCACATTGCTGTATCCTAACCAGAGTGGGTAAATAGCATGTGATACGAAAGTCGACCGGAGATTGGGGAGACAAAACAGTATAGCTTTTTTTTTTTTTAATGCGACCTCGACCGAATTTGAGTTCGTACGGTTGGTGTTATCAAACAATTTGATCGTTTCGACGCGTTGGTGTGCCGTCGCCGTAGGTGGGATAAGCGGAGGTGCCGCGAGGGTGCCGGGAGGGGAAATTGTGTGGCGCCCCATAGCTTGGTACTTAAATTAGTAGGTAGGTTCGACTGCTGCAGTTTACCCAGTGCTTAGCCTGTAACCCGGCGCACGAGCCAAGCCTCAAAACAAATCCCGATTGCTCACACGATTGGTACCGGTTGTAAATATACGCGTAATAATCTATAAACATATACATACGCTCGCGTATCGCACTGAGCTGTGACCGTTGCGACAAGAGTGGCTCCTCTGTGAGCGAAGATAAATATAGAAAATATTTATAGGCTATATTTTGCGAGTGGAACGTGCAGACAGCGAGAGGGAGGTTGGGGCGCGTTTAGCGGTTTGTGAATAGTTTCCGATTTTATGACAAAAGGGAGCATAAAAGCCGGCATACCGGGACACCGGACCGCGACCGCGCGATGACGGTAAAGAGTTGCTGTCGTAAAAATGATACAATGTCTAATTGAATGTGACCATTGCCGGCCGGGGCGGTCTTTGACAGTAATAACGCGGTAGGAGGCGAGTTTGGAGTTGGATAATTTCGGTGTAAAGGCGGTCCGAAATAGAGGAACCATGTTTTGGTTTTGCTATTTTTGTTTGAAAGAGTAGGCGGTCATTTCTCGACCTTCTTAAGAATAAGTGTGCATTAAATATTCCGAGATTTGGAGGAGTCCACGTTATTTTTTTAAATCTCATGATACGCAATCTACTCGGTCTATTTTTCTTATGTGGATTTGCCATAAGGCTTTGGCTTCGAATGGGACCAATACACACTGCAACCTAGTTGTATAACTGCTTTTTGAAAGTCTAAAAAATAACTGCGCAAAACTTTACAAAAAATCTAGGGGCATCCCACTCTAAACTATGTCTCTAGTATCAATTTAATATTTCCAAGAATCTGATGAGTATTCTTAAGTATTTTTAAGCTTTTTAAGTTTTGGATTCTTTGAATCGTATTGACCGGTTACTAACGTAGTTACTTATTGTTGTATATAGCTTCAATGTATTACGTTTAATCACATACTAAACAGGGCTGCTCAACCTTTCTAAACTTACTTTTTTAAATGGCTGTATCCAAGGGGCAAGACAGCTCCTAATCATAAGTAATTCCAGAGTTGCTTTTGAGGCACCTCGAGTAACTCACATTGCTCAGTGAGCAAGATCGCTGTCATTTGCTTTCTCACTTTGCGCATCACAGCAACATTTGAAGGTGCACCTTTATGCGAAGCCGAAAAGCTGCTGTCAAATAAAACAATAATAAACGCGGAACTCGGAGACACTTAAATCATCGTTCGACCCTTATCAACCGTGAACGTGAAAGGAAAGGTTGCAACAGGACCTTATTAAGTGTCGAATGCTTATCTGGTTGATGTGGTAGAAAATCCCGATCTGCCTCAGTATTTGAGTATTTGAATCGATACTCGTTGAAGCAATCCCGTCCCATCGCTTGCCAAACTGCCGTTGGATGGAACTGCGAACCGAGCTCTGAATTACCACGGTGCCGTTCGGCTGCCGGGAGACATCCATTTCTCGCTTTTGGTGCTTTTGCTGGGCCTTCCGGATGGTCGTGATTCGGTCCCATTTTTGCTATACACCACCGAGATTTTTCTGCGGCCGTCTACCGAAGTCTCCAGGAGAAAGTCGACGAAGAGAATCTGTCAGCTTGATTTGTGCTTCGTCTTCCTAACGGGTTTTCACTTCGGTTTCGTCCGGTAGATCGTTAATGGGTTTGAAGTTCAAACGAGGATCACACTCATCGGAAACAGGAGCTACTTCATCGTCATCCTTCTCTTCGTCTTCGGCAGTGGCAGCGGCAGCACTGATGCTCTGGCTGAACATTCCACGGGGTAATGGTTTGTAGCGTTGCCTTCGGAGCTGGAATTGGGTGTTAACCGGTTGTTGCCCCACCGGAAGATATTTTCTATACCGGAAACTGTGGTGGCGGGTGCCGTTGGAGGGGCCATGGTTGAAATATTACTCACAACTCTATGTTTGCCATGGTGCCAACGGGAATGTTAGTCGAAAGGGGATCAGAGTTAGTTAGTACCACATTGACTGGTGATGCCTTTTCGAATAGGACTGCTGTTACTACTGGAGAAATCTAAGATGGTGGGATCGCTGCATTATAGGTGGAATTTTAGATGTTTAGAAGAATATTGGAGAGCTTTTTTGATCATAGATGATCCTTTCGGAGTGACGACTGGGACTGGTTGCTGAGGAGGAAGAACAACAAGCTGGTTTGAAGTGTAGGTTGTTGTTGGTAGTAAGCAGGCACCGGCACAGGTTCTTCCATAATATTCCAGTTATTCGAAAGGCTCAGAATACACTTGGGATTACTTTATTTACTAACAAAACTGACGTCTAATATGAGACGTACATATATGCTTAAAAAGAGTAAACGGAGTAGGCAGAGAAAATATTGAGGTAAATTGAGTTATTCGCGAGTTACTCGTTGCAAAAAAGCAACTCAGACCTAAGCCTGTCTCACCCCTTGGCTGTATCCTATATTCGATGAACATGTTTAAAGCCGCATTTTGTTTCTTTCTCATTCACGCTGGGCTTGCTCACAACCAGCCAATAACTCAGCTAACCGAAACAATACACCCTTCGCTTCCGTTCAAGGGGCAAGTCAGCTGTACTCAGATCAAATAGTTTCGCAGCGAGTAGACTACTCAAAGCTGATCAAAGTAGTCTCGCTTTGTTCAGCATATCCAGCTTTCCATGCTCGGTAATGGCGGCCTGTTGGTTTGAATAAATGTATCATTCACTGTGCGTTTTGACACTATCTGGATGTTCGGATTTTGACCCCTCCCTTTCCCTCTCCCAGGAACAGAAGAAAACGGAACAACATACGCCCTCCAGTTAGTGTCAAAAAGCACAGTGAAGGATACATTTATTCATACAAACAGACCGCCATTACCGAGCATGGAAAGCTGGATACAAACCTTCAATGAAAAGTCGAAACAGACGTCATCTACCTACCCGAGATTCTATTTATTTGAGTTGAAATCATGCATTTGTTAAATTTAGTAACCGATAAATTTGTATGAGATCACGTGCAGGACGGCTCATATCTGATAACAGATTGATCGGTGCTATGTGACATCAATCCGCATTAGTTGTCAAGATATCGTTAACAGGGATTTGATGCTTATGAAAACACAGAATTTATCGTAGCTAAAGCATTTTTTCTATGCGATGTCGGAGTAATCTACCCTCGACTCGTGATTTCTCGTTGGATTTCTTCTGTCTTAGAGCGAATTCATTTATTATTCAGTTCCAACCTGGACCGGGTATCAAGATTGGGTCTGTTTATTTTCTGACAAACGTCAGTTTGCTCGTTTGTTTTTAAAACCTAGTTCAGGTTGAGGTTCGCACTGACAAAAAGTTCGGTTTCGCACTCGCTGAGGAACTAGAAATCGTATTCTGGACCTGTTTTTGACCAGATCAACAACTGATTATAGAAAAACAAAACTCAATGGAAAAAAATAAACGTCACAGCCTACTCTCTCCAACAGAAGGTAAACATTGAACATTCTGATAAATCTATCATGTCACCGGGTAAAATATTTCTAGATTCCCGGGTAAGCTGTTGCCCAATTCCCGGGTAGTCCAAAATAGCCCGGAAATGGACTCACCATAGGCAAATTATGAAAAAAATGTTGCCCGATTGGTTGATTAAATCGATGGAAGTACATGCGATCTTCTTACACAGAGCATCTGCGAAAATTGGATGCGCAAAATTGCAGGAACCATTGTCAATGGCAATAATAAGAATTTCAACACAAAAGAGAATTCAATCACCTTTTCATATGACGGACCGACTACAATAGAGAGTCGTGCGGCTGTTCCCGGGAATTACCCTCAATCAAAGGGAAGTTCTTATCGCCCAACCATATCGCAGTTTCTTTCCGCAAAGAATAGACCTGCTAATTCCCCGCGACTCTTTCCCATTCCTCTATCTCTCTCTCTACCCCAGGAAGAACCGAAATCACGAGTCCTGTTATCTTCCATACCCGATCTGGCTTTTCGGAATCGCACCATTGTCCCGAAACTCTTTTGATCTAGCTTCGAGAAAGAAAAAATTAAAACTAGGAATTCTATTCATACCGGCTGAAAACCCAGATGATCTCACGATTTCTTGAAGGGTCTAACTGAAGGCCCGGCAAAAGAGTGAAATGAAAACATCACCACCAACCGAAGGCGGTGCTTTCGCGGCGAGGTGGTTGGTTTTCGTTCGGTTATCAGTTCGCTAGCATCGATGATATTTTTAGCTCTTTCGCGCCTGCCTGCAGTTGTTGTGTGTTGTATGTCGCGAAAGCAAACAGCCTCATCATCATCATCATCATCATCGCCGTCGTCGTCGTCGTCGTCCTCAGTGGCAGCAGCAGCTCGCTGATTCAAATATTTGCCATTCTCGATTGTTGTTAGACATACATCATTCCTCACCACTCGCGCCGATGGAACTTGGGCCTCATCCCTTGAACATCCCACTATCGTCTCTCTGCCTGCAGGTCCAGACTACTTATGATAATGCCGGCGGTTAATTCACGTAATCGGTGTGCCACGCTTATTAAGTAACACTTACATCTGTTTTTTTTTTTGTTTTGTTCCAGGTCCTGACATCCCTAATGATTTTCCGGTAACAGCCAATCCAGAGGAGGAAGAACGCAGCAAACGTGAGTAGTGAAGAGCATCACGCCTCCAGATCTCTAACCATTTTCCTTCCCCCGAACCAGATTTTGCTGCCCTACTGACCGGTCGCACATCGTCCATCCTCAAACGGGACGACATGAAGTCCATGTACTCGACAATCAACCCGCAGAACATCGTCGCCACCGGGCGTTTCGCGTTCCACAAGAAGAACCTCTACTACAGCTTCTACATCTCAGAGAATGCACCCCGACCCCGGACGATCCAGTTCGTCGACCATCAGAGTAACATCCTCGAAGAACACCCGCTGATCATTCCGACCGAAGGCCCGTTCAGTGTCTACCAGAATGCAACGGGGAAGATCTGCGGGGTGTGGCGTCGCGTTCCACGTGACTACCGGCGTCTTCTGCGTGACGACATGATGAACGTCGTCCTGCTGTGGGGCGGTCAGCATCAAGCCGAGCTGGCCATTGCCGGCCCCATCGGGAAGTACCCGGCCCTACCTCAGGAGCTGTTCAGCTCCCTACTGGAGCCAGCCCCCGGAACCAATCCGGAACAGATGAACGGAGCCGGTGGTACGGCGATAGTTTCAACTAAGAGCGGAGTCACGTCATCCATCTACTTGACGATCGTGCTGAATGGCGTATTTTCCCCGGACGATATCGCCGACGTTCCGTTGAACATCCGACTGGAAATGCAAAACAAAGACCAAGTCATTCTGGAAGACACTCAACGGATCAGGAAACCGGCTCATGACATCAACGTAATTGAAGTGTCTTCACCTCTATCGGTGAACGATCTACGACTGCTAACTCGCGGAAAGCTGACGGTCGTCGTAGAATCGAAGCGCAAACCGGAAGCCTTACGTATTCAGGGCGTCATCCAGACACGCGTCGCATGCGAAGTGTTCCAAACTTTGTTGGCTTCACACAGTCCCGAATCCCGAACGGATAGTAATGGGCTCGCTTGGATGTACCTGAACAAGGAAGGCTCCCTGGTGTACAACGTACAAACTCACAACGTTCACATGAACCACAATCCGGTCATCACCCTGATCGACGACAGTGCCAAGCGAAAGGTCGACCTCGAAACGCTGACCTTCAATTCAAACCACATCTCAGGCACCGTCGACCGGTTGGGACCGCGAGTCCTGGAACCGCTCTACTCCGGAGATTTGGCCATCAATGTCGCCAATGATCAGAACCCCATTCTCATCCATGGAAAATTTGTCACCCGACCGGTTGCCGATGCCCGCGATTCCAACGCACCGGTCCTGTTGAAGCGTGTCGGTAGCTCGGCCACACCGTCGCACTCCGTTGGCATGGCTTGGGTGGCCGTCGATAACGAATGCAACCTACACTACGAAGTGACACTGACCGGCGTTCCCAGTGCGTACCACCCGGTACAGCTCTACCTCGAGGAACTCCCCATCGAAGCTCCCAACGCTCCCATTAGCCGAACGCTGCTGGAAGACTTCACCGGAAACTACCTCGAAGGTTTCGTACTGGCGCTGCCCTCGACCGAACTGGCCAAGCTGGAAACCAGTGTCATCTATCTAGAAATCCGCTCGAAATTAAAAAACGAACCCATCCTGAAGGCAAAAATCAAATCGATTAAGGTGCCGAACCACTGCACCGGAAATCAGTACCACGACAACGACGTGCAGAACAACTCCTTCGCTCCTATGGCGCACAACGACAACACCGTCCCGACTGTGGAAACGAAATGCTATCACTCTTCCCGCTTCTACGACGAAGGCGACATGTGGCACAGTGCACTCGAGAGCTGCACCATGTGCTCGTGCGTGCACAAGCGCGTCAAGTGCGAACCTATCCGCTGCCCTCCGTTGAAGTGCCGGAAAGAGGACATCGTGCAGAAGAAGGGTGACTGCTGTCCAACCTGCGCAGGTTCGTCTCAGAGAATTAATGTTTCCACTATCCAAACTAACCTCAAATCTCTTCCAGTATCCAAATACTCCGACGACACCCGACTTGTTTCGACGTCCCGCGGTTGCAAGCTGGGCGACCAGTTCCACGAAGCCGGCTCGACGTGGCACCCGTACCTGCCGCCGAACGGCTACGACACCTGCACCGTGTGCACCTGCGATATGGCAACACTGGAAATTAACTGCCCGCGAACCCAGTGCCCACCGTTGAACTGCAGCGACAAGGTGGCCTACCGACCGGACAAGAAGGCCTGCTGCAAGGTGTGCCCTCAGGTAGGAACCAGATCCTTCTCAAAGATGACGTGTGATTTAATTTCCATTTCGACGCAGATTAAGGAGCGGAAACCGATTCGCACCGGCAGCCCGGACGAAGCAGGCGACCAAGGAAGCAGCAGCGGTACGCTCCGGTCCACGCAGACCATCCTGGCGAACGGTGGCTGTACGTACAATGCCAACGTGTACGACAACGGTCAGCACTTCCATCCGATACTGGCGTCCCACGGGGAGCAGAAGTGCGTCAAGTGCACGTGCAAGGTAAGCGCATTTTAATTTCGTTATTTTAAATCCATTTCATTCAAAACAGCAGATTCATTATCTGGGATTCTTTTGCACGGTGCTGTCACTGTATCTTTGAAAATACTCATGAAAAATTCTAATATCTGCATACCACTGAAAAGAGAAAGTAAAGGGCCATGCGCAATGACAGCGGAACCGGAACGGTAGCGGCAGTGGAAAAGCCCGATCTGAGTAAGCCAACTAGTTGATCAAATCGACTTTGGTTAGGCATCTTGATGTCATTTTTGACAACTTCAATCTTTCCGTTTCCGTTCCGCTTCCACCCATATTGCGTTTGGGCCTTAAGGGCTTTCGTTTGGCATAACCAAAATGCTTAGCAGCTATATTATTGACGTGTTGAGTGAACTCTCTTGGGTTAATTAGGACTACAATTTAGAGGATAAAAACAGTTCATGTTTTGGCCGCAAAGATGGCACTGCGATTCAAACTGTTTTTATTTCTCCAGATAGAGGTTCGCTTTCTTGGACAAAGTTGTAGATCGTAGCATTTTATGAAAATTTGCCCAAGACTTACATATCAAAACAACTGAGATGTACGAAGTTTTACATAAATAGCCTGCAATTCACGTTTTTGGTATTTTATTTAAACAATCGTTCAAAAGAATATCTTATTTAATCTTTTTTCTTCGATCGGTACTGATCAATCCAATCTTTTTCAGATCAATGCCTTTACTTTTAGAGTACTGAAAAATATAAATGACATGAAATTTTTAAAACTACATGATTTTCTAAATGGCCACCACCTCGGCTCAACTAACGAATTCGATTCGTTAGTTGGGTCAACTGACAGAAGGCTAAAATGTGTTGGGGGCCATGCGTATCCTTTGTTGCGGTTAAGAAGATTGAACAAAAATCAATTTGAATTGAAGCACACTCTCTCTGTATTCAATCTTCGTTTATCACACTCTTATCTCAAACTCACTCTTTCACTCAACACATCCCATGTAGGGAAGTTAGGGGTAAAATGCCCATGGCAGATCCCCGATATTTAAGTGGAATTCCATCCATATGTTTGATTAGGCAAGATTTTACAATTGATTTCTCGATGAACATTTCAAATGGTCCTATCTGCTTTGATCGATTCTCTTCATCGACTTTCTATTTTCATAACCACTGCTATGCAAACAGATTTCGCGCTAATTCTACCACATAGTTTGATAAAGGAGGTTCTTATCTAGCGTCCAAAACGTCAAATACAACAGGGAAAGGTTTTGCAGCTGAGTTATTGACGAAAGAGAAAGTCGATGAAGAGAATCGATCAAAGCAGATAGGACCATTTGAAATGTTCATCGAGATTTCAAAGTTGAATTGCATCCGGTCTCACCAAACGGTGTTTATTCAATCACCCCGTGGTGAGTGGCGGTGTTCTCCAGTACACAGCGAAAGGCTCCCCGCAAGCAGCTAGCTATCAAGGCTCAACCGCTGATCGGATTCAGTTCCAATCACCGTGTGTATTGGTGTCCGGTCGTCGGCATATCAGCAGCAGCAGTAGTGCTTTGGGTGCGTATGGCGTTCAACATTGTTCTCCAGTACACAACGAAGGGCTGCCTGCAATCAGCGAGCTGCAGCCCACATGACCATCCATAGAAGGAGCAAGAAGCGGCACCGCTATTGATCGGAATCAGTAGCTATTCGTGAGTCGCTGTGGCCCATCTATGTCTTCTTCTTCTTCTTCTTCTTCTTTCCTTTGTTTAACGTCGGTCTCTGTTCCGCAATCTAGTGCCAATCACCGACGGACATCGATTGCCATCCATTGCCGGCAATCGAATGTGCAAGGAAGGCAGCTTCCACACCTGCGTAGGATATCGCACCCATTCACAACACACATGGGCTGGGACCAAAGGCTTTACTTCCCTTCCGAAGGAAGACGTGACCAGAGATTTTTTTTATGCCTCAGAAAAATCCCACCGACCTCGGCTGGGATTGAACCCAGACCCATTGGGGTGTTATAAAGCAGTCACGCTTACCACTACACCACCGGCGTCGGCCCATCTATGTCAAGCGTGTCATACTAAAGAGTCTAAACAAACACAAGCTCCTGCTGCAGTTAACAAATAAGATTTATTATATAAATACCACGTAGTCCTACGTCACCATTGCGTACAACCCCATAGGGCTGCCTCTTTTAGTTTTTAGCTTTTCCTTCCTGTGGAAAGTGGCGTACACGAAAGCAAAAATACTTGCGACTGTGTTGCTACCAGTTTGACAGCTCGTTTGTATGACAGTTTATGTTAGCTGAATTTTTCGGCTAAGCATAGCGTTTGCTGTTTGTCGCTAATTTTGATCCAGCAATCCATTTTACTGATATTGCAAACTTAAATTTGGTGTAAGGGATTCTTTTGAAAGCTGTTCTGCAAGTTCTACAGTGTTGTGAATCCGACGACTCGATAATCCGACAGCACGGTCTCTTATGGAGCTTTTATTATACTGCTAGGTTGGTAACATTTATTTGTATGGATTTGACAATTGGATTATCGGATCAACTCCGCTAATCCGGCCACAAATTGGACAGAGAGATATAACGGAGGATACTACTTATACTATATTTCTCTTTGCCGGACTCTTATACCTTATATCAATACGAAACTAACGATTTTGAATTGGCTCACTACTTGACTAGCCTATTGGTCCCAAGCAAACGATTAACGTGCCCCATTCTAGTCAAAATTCTAGTACTATACAATTTTTTTTTTTTTTTTTATTAGCTATGAAAGTTTGACAGATAATATGAGAGGTTCGTGGATTTTCCTATGTTTTGAGGGGTGAATCGATTAGCTTGGGACCGAAGATAAAGGGTGATACGGTCAAAATTTGGTCAAGGGAAAACGCGTGTAAATCGGTGAAATCGTTTATTTAAAAAATCAAATTAAATTTCTTTTTCAAGTTCAATTAGTATAAAATTCAGGAAAAATATTCAGTTAGGCTTCCGCTTTTCCAAATCCGAATTGCCGGGCCTTACGCTTGACCCCTGCCATCAGATTTTGTACAGCCACCTTGTCCACCTTCTTCGCCGCAGAAAGCCAGTTTGCCTTGAACTGCTGCTCGCCCTTAGCAGTTTTTTTGGTCTTCTTTAGGTTCCGCTTGACAATAGCCCAGTATTTCTCAATTGGGCGGAGCTCTGGCGTGTTGGGAGGGTTCTTGTCCTTGGGAACCACCTGCACGTTGTTGGCGGCGTACCACTCCATGGCCTTTTTACCGTAATGGCAAGATGCCAAATCCGGCCAAAACAGTACGGAACAACCGTGTTTCTTCAGGAAAGGCAGCAGACGTTTATTCAAACACTCTTTCACGTAAATTTCTTGGTTGACAGTCCCGGAAGCTATGAAAATGCTGCTTTTCAAGCCACAGGTACAGATGGCTTGCCAAACCAGATATTTCTTTGCGAACTTTGACAGTTTCAGGTCCGGCTCGTTTTTTGGCTCGATGCACGGTTGTAGACGATACACCCAGCTTATTTGCGGCATCTCGGAGAGAGAGGTTAGGGTTTCGCTTGAAACTACCGGCAACTCTCTTTGTCGTCTCAGCGGCTTCCGGTTTTCGATTTCCTCCCGATCCAGACTTCCTGGCTGTCGACAAACGTTCCCCAAACACTTTAATTACATTTGTAACGGTTGATTTGGCAACTTTTAGCGATTTTGCCAACTTTGCGTGCGAGTAGCTCGGATTTTCGCGATGCGCGAGCAAAATTTTGATACGCTGCTCTTCTTGCTTGGACGGCATTTTGACAACTGAAGAGTGAATTCCAAAATCAAAATAGGAGCAACATTCTACACACACACACCTTCAAAATGAGGGGTGTTCAGGTTTTTTAAATGCAAAATTGAAAGAAATACGTCAAGTTGATATTGACCAAATTTTGACCGTATCACCCTTTAGTACCAGAGCTGAGCCAAAAAGTTGAACACGTTTCTTCGGGACCTACTATGCTTATACCATAGAGGTAACACTAAGATCAGAAGGTCCCGAAGAAACGGGCTCAATTTTTTGGCTCAGCTCTGATACTCTCTTCGGTCCCAAGCTAATCGATTCACCCCTCGAAACATAGGAAAATATATTCAAATATATTTGTACCCCCATATTACCTGTCAAACTTTCATAGCGAATCAAAACAAACATAGTGTAGTACTAGAATTTCAACTAGAATGGGATACGTTAATCGATTTGCTTAAGACCAATAGGCTAGTCAAGTAGTGAGCCAATTTAAAATCGTTAGTTTCCACCAGTTGCTTATACGCCGATTATAAGTAAGCCAATATTGGGTTTTCCTCACCAAAATAAACGAAAGAGCCACAAAAATTCAAGTTAAACGCATTTTATTTTCCTGCCACCATCACATGCTAATTAGCAATCTCCTAACCTCTCTCACGCCCTACTATGCCTGAGCTAGACCTCTCGACCTTCTACGCCATAGCGCAAGCACTCTTCTACGCAATTCGGAGCGTACTCACAGAATCGTTCTGGTCCTCTTGTTCAGCGTCTTTAGTCACCGGCGTTGCCGATCGTGGCACTCGCTCGCGTGGGCCCCGTGCCTAGTGCTCGCCGTCAGCACGGCCGTTCGTCGTCTGCCGCCCAATCGGATCCTCCGGTACGCCGATCGAGGTTGCCGCCACTGGCAGTGTGTGGTCTACCACCAAAATGCGGAGAAAAAGTATAACAAAGTATACGAAAAGTATATCCAAGCAACAATCAGTTTTCCACTGCCCTTTGTTTGCAGCGGCACAGGGGCGTTAAGCCAGGAAATTGTACAACTGTCGCTTATTAACATAATTATGATATTCACTCAACTTCATCTGTACTGACCATTCATTTTTTTTTCCTTTACAGGACCGGGAAATCCATTGCGAACGGAAACGGTGCGCTCGTTCGGTGTGCAACCGACAGCACGCCCGCAAGAACGCCATCGTCGACGAGTGCTGTCAGTGTCAGAAGACGGGCCGGCATCAGCACCGAAGACGGCCCAATCACAGCAAGCAGCAACAGCAACAACCACAGCAAACGGCCATATCTGTAAAAAGTTGAATTGATTAAGTTTCCGACGAACCATCGGAGTGTTTCGGTTTATTGAACGTATTTTTTTTTTCTATATTTCGGTAATTGTGACTAGAATTTTGACTTTTTGGGAGAGAAATAAAAAACAAGTGTGAGTGACTGTGAGTGAGAGGGTGAGAAAGAGTGCGTGAGAGAGTAACTATCAGTGATACAAGAGATTTGGAGTGCCAAATAGTAGTGCGATGATGGATGTGTTTTGTATTTATTACGATAACAAATTTTTCGAACAGTATCAGGAAACTGGAGCGTACGCTAACGTATACAGAGTTTGGAATGCGTACAAAGAGCTTTTTTTTTGGACTACAAATTAGGAAAAGTGGCGGCACAATTTTTCGGTGTGTGAGAGGGAGAATTTGAATATAGAAGCTTGAAAAAAATATCATCCTAATGAAAGAAATTACAATGCAGGGTATTCAGATGAAGAAAAAAAAGCGAGAGGGAGAGAGAAAGCCAGGAGGACAGAAATAATTGGAAATTTCTTATTTTAAAGAAATTTTCCAGTTGGAAAAGTTTTTGTATCAGAGATCACTATTTATATTTTTTCTACAAATAGGCATAGGTTTCTAAACTGTAGGCATAGTAGAGTGTAAGGAAAAACCATATTTATTTAAAGGGAAAGTTACTGGTCAGCAAACAGCAGTAAATCATTATAGGTCATTCGCATTTAAAGAAAACGGAAAACACACACACACACTACGAAATAAGAGCAAAGAAGAGGAAGGATGGAGCTTGAAAAGTTGTAAATGCTTTTTTTTAACTCTATAAACACACTTACACGCAGCAAAAATTGAGATTATTTAAAAGGATTGATAGCAATAAACAACAGATTTCAGAGCCGACGTTTTCTGAACTAGCAGCAACACGCCCCAAGAAAAGGGAAACCTTTATTGTTTGTATTCTGCGAATGCGTCAAGTCCGCATTCGATCCTTGGTTAGATTGCCCATAGCATGATCTGGATATGGAATCAGGAGAATACTGGACCAACTACCATCAGGGCATTTGGGCACGTTTCAACCCTGCACACTGGGGATAAAAATGTCGCAAAATTCAACAACTCCAGTTTTCGCTAGGGGAAACATGATCAAATTAGTTCTTGTTACAGGATAAAAAAAATCTCAGAAATCGAATGGAACTGGTTTCATCTTGCGTGGTTTTGGTGTAAAACTCGCAAAACTATTTGGTAGGTACTATTTTATTTGGTTTTCAATAGAAAAACGCATCAAGAATCCAATGAAAATGGTTTCCACTTACGCAGATAGCAGATAAAGTTATTCTTGTGGAAAATTCTCAACAAATCATAGAAAGGAACCGTATAAGGTATAACGATTAAAATATATCTACCGTGCGCAAGATGAAACCAGCTCCATTCGATTTCGGAGATTTTTCCCTGTCAAAATGAATAATTTGATCAAGCTACTCCAGCGAGAACTGAAGTTGTTGAATTTTGAGACATTTTTACGTTCCTGTCTCCAGTAGTGTGCAATGCCTGAATAATATTCTTTCTGAGTAGAAATCTGGAAACCATTATCTTGCGCCCAGCAGCGATCGGTTTCATGTTCGAAATAACATTGTTTCTAGAAAGACATTCTAGTCACGTGCCTTAGCGCTACATCCTGCAATTAAGAAGATAAAATGTAACTTTTAGAAACACGAAAATCGACGACTAGGGAGAGGGGATGGTCCCACTTTGCGATCTCCCATCCGTCGAGTGAGGGAGGCAAAAGGGCATCCCGGACAATGCAAGCGAAGAAAATAAACCCGACAACAGTTAGAAACTTAATCAATTCACTGAAAATAAGAAAAAAACACATTGCGCGATTGCTTTTTATTCACATACTTCTGCTAAGCAAAACAGACAAAACTTAGGTCGACAAGAAAAGGCAAAACAATTCTTGAACTGTTTTTTTTCCTGTTACCACGTACCAAAGAAGACTGATATATTAAATCTTGAAAGTAAAAGAGAAAAACGTTGAAATAAATTTGCTGATGTAAAAACAAAAACAAAAAAATTGTAACCCGAACCATCTTTTGACGCTGAGAAACCGAGAAGAACAAAAATCTGTCGAAACACAAACACACACACTCACACACACACCCATACACACATACATTTCGTCAGTCATTTCGTTAAACCCCCTACCACCATTATACCACATTACTTTTGGATACTTAAGAAAACCGATTCCGATTAATTGGGAATTCATCATCTAATACAGTATTGTCTCGCTGCTTCAGGCCATTTTACCGACGAACGCAGCTTTATTCAAATTACAAAACAAAAAAGTAAGAACCAATCATCATTGCTTTGTTTTCATCACTTTCACACCTTAATCGTACCACTGTAAACAAACAAGTAAGCAAGCCAGCGGCGGACAATGCAAAGCATTGTCCGTCCGTTCGAACAGAGAAATGAGAGATAGAGAAAATAAACACAATCAGCGAAAAGAGAGAGAGAGAGAGCGAGAAGGGGAGGAAATCCAAGCATGCCATAAGTTTTTTTTTAATGTTGATAAATGATTAAATTATTGTAACACAGGTCACTTACTACCGATAAGTGAAAAACACACTAGCTTTTAGGAGAAGAAGCCTAGCACAGCAGGTGTACGCCAAGAGAAATAACAGGACAGAGTCATCCACGCATTGAACGAAAACTATCGAAATCGGGACGTGTCGCAAAATGGACGTCTACTGTCACAAAAACACACACACTCACACGCAAACACATTATATTTGTAGGTACATAGCTAGGTTGGAAAACAGAATTAAACCATTTTCCGTGGTGTTGGCATATCCGGTTGTGCATTGTCGCAACGCAACGCAACCGAACGCGCGCTAGGATATGCATATGCGTGCACCATAGGGAGAATTGAGAGCAGGAGAGACTCACAGATATACATACAGAATCAATAATGAAAAACACAAACACGAAACAAAAGCGTTATATAATATCCACCAAACAATCTAGGAAGAAAAATAAAACAGCATCAAATAAAAACGGATATACAGCAAAATTTGTTGCGACGTTGGTTTTATGATAAATGGAACAAGCGAAAAGAAAATACCTTTATTGATGTCAGCAAATTATGAGGAATCCAAAGAGGTAGCTTGTTACAATATTCAATAATCTAGGCGATAGCCTCCCGAGCTCCACCATTGACGAGAAGTCCTTGCACTTCCGGATGTGGATTCCTACACTGCTGACAGTTCCCAAGCCCATACTGCACACTGCTATCTAGATTGTTCGTTGACATTCATCGTAGTACAGACCTGAGTTGTAGAGAGTAGTTCCAACAATCAATACGAAACTAACGATTTTAAATTGGCTCACCACTTTAGTAGCCTATTGGTCCCAAGCAAACGATTAACGTACCCTATTCTAGTTGAAATTCTATTACTACACTATGTTTGTTTTGATTCGCTATGAAAGTTTGACAGATAACATCAGGGGTGTGTGGATTCATGCAGAACATGCAGGGGTGAGTGAAATAGCTTGGGACTGCTTGGGACCGTTGTTCTGGTACTGAGTGAGCCAAAAATAATAATGATTTTCTTCGGGACCCAGTGGTCTTAGAGTTACCTCTATGGTAGTTCCCTGAACGGGTTGTCCGCAATGAACTGGGGACTCTAATAAAATTTGTATGGTTATTTTGCTTCACGACGTGTTCATGATATCATCCAAAACATTTATATAAAAGTTCAATCATTTGAGTTATCGTTCGGGTATAGTATTTTTGACGTAGGACTACGTCTTTGATTTCTATATGAAGTACACTTTGTGAAAACCAAAAATGGAACATGTAACAAATTAAGTAAGATTTTGAACGTTAATAACTCAGCTGCCCCTGGTCCAATTTCAATAATTTTATCACCAATCGATCAGAAATATGGCTACGGATCGATAACAATGCTTTCGAATGTTCATTTTCAACAAGAAACTATTGAAAAACTGGTAAATGTCCAGCATTGTCCAAAAGCGTCGAATTAACTAACAAATCCACCCACTGCTTCCCCAGCACAGTCGTCAGAGAGTAGTAAGTAGACGAAACAAGTCGAAGTGGCATTCACCTCAGATCCTCGGGCGCGTGCGAATAGAGAGGATGGAATTGTGTAATATTTTGCACACTCTTCTCCATACTCAGAACCACACGCCCCCGGTCGTCGAAATTATTAGCAGTAGCAGTACTTTCGGCGTGTGGCGTTGTAAATTGTTCTCCAGTAACAACGAAAGGCTGCCTGCAAGCAGCGAGCTGCAGAGCCCACATAAGCAACCATCAAAGGAAGAAGAAGCTGCACCGCTATGCTATGGATCGGAATCAGTAGCTCTTCGTGAGTCGCTGCGGGTCGGTCATCTATGCCATGCGTGTCACCCTCGCTCCAAACGACATACAGCTCGACAGCCTCATCCGTGTTGAACACCCAGCTCAGAATTTCTCAACTATCACTACAAAACGGTTCTTTTCAGGGCCACTTGTAGTACAACCATAGAGGTAACTCTAAGACCACTGGGTCCCGAAGAAAATCATTATTATTTTTGGCTCACTCAGTACCAGAACAACGGTCCCAAGCAGTCCCAAGCTATTTCACTCACCCCTGCATGTTCTGCATGAATCCACACACCCCTGATGTTATCTGTCAAACTTTCATAGCGAATCAAAACAAACATAGTGTAGTAATAGAATTTCAACTAGAATAGGGTACGTTAATCGTTTGCTTGGGACCAATAGGCTACTAAAGTGGTGAGCCAATTTAAAATCGTTAGTTTCGTATTGATTGTTGGTTATACCTTGTACAGACATACAAAGTACCCCAACAAACAATTGAGAGCATTTAAAAAACATCCAAGTTGATTAAACGTTGAATTATTGCTTCCAGAGCTGAACAAGAATGTAGCTGTATTGTTTTTTGGATAAAAGCTTTTAAAATTGAATGGGACGCTTTTAAATGATTATCTGCATTCTGTTTAATAACATGCTTTATATGACTTGCGAATCCTCTTATAGCTCCCCAGTTTAATCGATTGGCAATAGCTGAATAGAAAGTAGAATAATAGCATTAAACTAAATAAAAACTTCTCCTATGCAACTCTATGTAATGAGTTTAACACAATAATGAAAAATAGTTTAACTAGCCATCACTGGACACATTATTAAACTATTCTTAATTGCGCTGCCAATGAAGTTGTACTGAAACTTAAGCAGTTATGTAATCAACTCTTAATTAATCATTTTAATTACACGTATTTATTGCTTAAAAACCGTGGTATAAGGATCATTCGTTCAAATTAAGTAGTAAGACATTAACTGATCATACTGAACAGGCGCTCTACAATCGTCACAAAATCAATCTTTGAAATGATACTTTCTTCACTTTTTTAGCTGTATATGAGTGATGGTCATTAGTTATTCAGCTGAAGAAATTGGCATCCTACCACAAAATAACTTGGATTGTGCAATTATAATCGTTATTTTAGTTAAATATTGAAAGTAAATTTGAGTGAATAAGTAAAAAATATGGATAAAAATTTAAAGAAATACATGAAAAAAGGAACATACCACAGGAAACTAAAGTCTACTAGAGAAAAATACAAGCATATGTTTGAAAATTTGAAGTTAAATCTAGTTGCAAACCAGCAATCGAAAAATAATAATGTTGTGGAGTCACATCTTGAGCGCGGTATGTCAAATTGAATATAATTTTTGTTACAACAATAAAACATTTATAAATTTTGCAAATTAAAGGAATCCATCATCTCGACAAACTGGAATCTGAATTCTCTAACTATGTTAGAGAAAGTAGTCGAATTCCTTCAGCTATTTCGTCATATAACTCTCGTTTAGTCCAAATCAATGCAGCTCAGAGAAATCTAGTCCAGGTCAAATCAGTTCAGGCTCATCCTGTTCAAAACTATGCAGACAACCCATCTGAAGAAACCACAAACGAAGGAAACATGGAAATGCATTATACCGAGATTGGCCCTGAACATTATTTAACAAACGACAGCTCCCGCGAAGATCTGAGAATGTGGTCACTTCGCCACAATATAACTCATCATGCGTTAAAAGACTTATTGGGATTGATAAGAGGAAATTATAACGATACAAGTTTGCCAATGGATCCAAGGACCCTGTTAGAGACTCCTCAGGGCATCGGGAAGCTTTGTACCGAGATAGCTGGTGGTAAATATTGGCACCATGGATTAGCATCCTGTCTTAATATGTGGTTTGAGAATCTTTCTACTGATATCACTATCAGCCTTAACATCAATATCGACGGTTTACCAATACACAAAAGTTCAAAATTTCAACTTTGGCCGGTTTTATGTAACATTCACGAAATGCCTGAACTTAAACCGATGCCGATTGGAATTTTTCTTGGAAAAAATAAGCCTTCAAACATAAACACGTTCCTTACGCCATTTGTCGATGAACTTGTGCCAATTCTTAACACTGGATACGTTATTAATAGTCACATCATTATTATTAAAATGCGGTGCTTTATTTGCGACTCGCCAGCACGCGCTTTTGTTAAAGGTAATGGTCGTTTTAAGCGTTTAATTTCTCTTAACGCAAAGATAGTTGCTTCCTTATTAGATAGAATAATTAACATCTATTTTACTCTGATCATTGGATTGGATTTATGCCAACATCAATGTGAATCAGTAAGAATCTATACCGTAATGCATTGAAATCCGGACACTTAGTCCATAAATACGGGCACTTTCAAAAGTTGATTATCATGGCCAAATATTGATGACCATTTCAAAACCTCCTAACTGCATTGATCGATTCTCTGCATCGACTTTCTTTTTTGATAACCACGGCTATACCAGGCTATACATTCACATTTCACCATAGTCTGATGAAATGAGTTATTATCTAGTGCACAAAACATCAAACACAGGAGGAAATGTTTTTGTCACTGTGTTATTAACGAAAGAGAAAAATGATGAAGAGAGTCGATCAATGCAGATAGAAACTTGTGAAATGTTCATCTAGAAATATGATACAAATACTACATACATTTTATGATGACGATGAATTTTATGTGAATGCAATGTACAATTAAAAAGTGAATATCCGTAAATTGATTGATGAGCGTTTTAACAGAATAATTGTACACCTTATTACGTTGTTGTTCCTTTTGATTCTACTACTATTGTATCACTTTCACTTTCACTAATTCACTATTTACTTTCACTAGGGTATACGTCCCTAACCTCGGTCTAATATGCAGCCATCGATTACGTTTTTAATCATAACTCATCAATGAATTTACCTGCAAACGATATTCTACTGCTAAATGGTATGCTTAGATATGCTTATCATGTCGTTTGCTATCAGAAACCACGAAAAGTTGAAAAACTTACTTTTTTTAAGACAATAACTCACGAGGGAAATGTATGTAATATGGGTCTATTGTCCCCAAATTGGGTCTATTTATGGATGCAACTTCGTCCTATCTTGTTTGATCCTCAAAAAAACGCTCTTGGTAACGTTTTCTGATGTATTTTTTTTATCACTATCACTGTTAACTTAATGCTCTTCATTCCTCAAAACATTTCTTAGAGAAAATTTTACGAAAACTACATTAAATCACTCAATTTAAAAATTAAAAATTAAAAATTTCGCTTATCGTCTTTTGACCGCAGAATATCTAAATCAGAACATTGTGATGTTCATTATACAGGTTTGGCAGAAAAAATCTCCCTTCCTGTTCGTTCCTTATCATCCAAATGCAAAACAACATTGTTGACGTTACTCTTATTGCTATATGCTGTCAAATGAATTTCATGGGCCATAGTTAGGAACATAGAAAAGAAATGTGTCCCTAAAGTTGGGTCCATGTTTTACTTGTGAAAACGTTGTTAAACAATTAAAATAAACATAAAATATTCAAACAGCAACTGTAAGTTTTACGTCTAGTGTGTATTATCAGGTAATTCCAATCAATAAATGCCATAATCAGGCCATTTGATGATCGTCAGTCAACCTTCCCATCTTAACCTTATAAGTCATGGCGGCTAAAAACTCCGAACATTGTGATATTCTCAACCAGTTTTATTACTTACGAGAGCTGAAAATGTATTGAAATGTTGTGATATAAATTGATTTGTGTGTGGTACACATTTATCAACCATCAGTGATCAATATTTTCCTTATTTTTTGTGTAATATTCCTTAATTAATTATTTATTTGCGTGATAGGCCGAATGAAAGGACTAGACCCACATTACATACCGTAACCCTATAACATAAAAAAAAAAACTATAACAGATACGTGTTTCGTTTACTACTTGCAAACTTCTTCAGTGTCTAGTCATAGACTTGACTAGACACTGAAGAAGCAGCTTGCAAGTAGTAAACGAAATACGTAACTGTTATAGTTTCTTTAAAAGTGATAGTGAAAGTAAATAGTGAATTAGTGAAATTGAAAGTGATACAACAGTGGTAGAATCAAAAGGAACAACAACGTAATAAGGTATATTAAGTATCCGGATTAAAAGACTGTCTGGAACTCAGTGCATTAACGGTACAGATTATCTTAATCGCATCTTCTCTTAAATTCTATTATATATCTAATGATATTTTGCTTCATTACAGGAGTACTTAATTTTAACGGTAAAAATGGTTGTATTAAATGCAATGTTGTTGGATAGTACTCATACATTTCGCGCACGGTAGTGTTTCCAACTCTCCACGTTCCTGTGAGAACAGATAAAAAATTCCGGCAAAAGCAGTATGGAAAGCATCATGTTGGAGAAGACTCACCAATTTTAAGAATCCCAGGACTAGACATGATTCAAGATTTTATAGTGTCAGATTCGCTACACTTGTTGGAATTAGGTATTATGAAACGCCTTTTGATTGGATGGAGAGATGGATCACTGGGATATACAGGGAAGCTAAGTGCTTTGCAAATACAAAAATTATCAGATTCTATTGTAAACATCAAACTTCCCAAAGAAATCCACCGAAAATGAGAGGACTAGACTGTATAGCTTTTTGGAAAGGCACGGAATTTCACACCTTTCTGAATTATGTAGGCGTGGTCATTCTTAAAGACATATTAGACGAAAAGTTGTATAGCCATTTTTTGCTTCTGTTCACGGCTGTTACAATCTGTTCATCTGATGTTTACAAGGAATTGTACCCAATTGCACAATTATTATATGAAAAATTTATTGAAGAATTTATTGAAATCTACGGTGAAGAATATGTGACGAGTAACATCCATAACCTTGAGCATGTTGTAGGCGATGTGAAACGATTTGGTCCTTTGAATTCAATTTCGTCTTATCCATTTGAAAGTTATCTTTTCCAATTGAAAAAATACGTGCGACAAGGGAAAAATTGCTTGGAACAAGTTGCAAATAGAATATTGGAGAAACATCAAATTCCTCTAGTTAATACTACCAGGTGTTCTATTCCGAAAGTAATAAGACGAGGTAATACGGTAGAGTGTGAAATAAGACAGGGACTTTTAATCAGTAATGTTTTCAAAGATGCATGGATCTTAACAAAAAATCGTGAAATTGTTAGAATTATCGACATTTACATTGATGTTAACGGAAATATTTTATTACATGGTAGAGCACTCAGAAATCGAACTGATTTTTTCATATTACCAATTCGATCTTCGATTTTACATATTTATGCTGCGCATGTCTGTAATTTAAATACCGAAAAAACATATAAAATCAACGATATATTCTGTAAGTATGTAGTAATTCCATCTAGACAAAACAGTTTTGTTTACATTCCGCTGCTACATACGATTCAAGGTTAACATTTTTGTTGCTCTAATCAATTTGTACTTTTCTGCACATCAAATCATTTCTCTAAGAACTAAAACCTAACTCTAAAATACTGAAACCGAAACATTTTAAAATGAATTATGCCAACTGTACGTAGATTATTCGAGAGAAAACATAAAATTAAAGAACAAAAACATTAAAAAATCATTACTCGAAAGAAATTAATGTTTATGAACAAAAGTGGAGCTAAAACATAAATATGAAGTACCAGAGCGAGTACCATCTGCTCGAAACTGATGTCGTTGTTTAATGTAATTAACGAGGATCATCAAATATAGTTAATCGCTTTCGCATTCCTCTTGGGGATCATCTTCTGATGTTTCGTCTTCTTCTTCTTCTTCAACATCATCATCGTCATGCTCCGTGTTCGCTTTCTGGGTTTGTCCTGTCTTAGTGATATGTATAGGATTATCCAGGAAGTGGTATACCGTATCCGTCTGTGCATCCTGAACATCTTCATCGACGCTGGTAGGAACTTGGACAACAATGTCGCCAGAATCTACAAATTTTTGAATGTTTTGTTAAATAAATCATAAGAGCAAAAAGTTATTTATAGTTTGTGCTTATTATTTTGATCATTCATGATTTGTTTATATAGGGTAGGTGTGCCAGTTTTGGCTACACGTTCCTATTGTGGTTCGTTCCAATTATGACTTATGGGAACTTCATTGGTCATAATTGGAACACACCAGAATAGTCACAAACAACTACGAATATCTTTCTTTCGAAAGAAATCCAAAGAGTATTCATCGTTAAGTTCCTAAATAAGTTTTTTCAAAATGAATAAATTGGATAATTCAAAAACTTAATTAAGCATTAAGGATAAATCATAAAAATAAATGTACCTGCAACACCCTTTTTCTTTATTCTACGATGAATAGATGATTGCCTCATTCCCTTAGCTTCGCTGCGTTTTTTCGAGTTTCTCGTTATCTTCTTGAAAAAATCCTCCAGCAGCTTACGTGAAAATGTGATGTTAACGCTATGAACAATTTTGAAAAAAATATTCAAAATTCTTTCACAGTCTTTCATCGAAAACTTTGGCGTTTCTCCTTTGCTTCCGCCACTCCAAGAGCAAAGTAGTAATACTTTTCGATCAAAAAAATGGTCGATTAATTCGTAGCAAACGTTTTGCCCATTGCAGTTGTCTCCAGTATGTCCGATTTGTTTCTTCATGTGAATGATCTGAGAATAAAAAGTTATTATTAAGTAAGTTTACAATAACAACAAAATATATGGGAGATGAACCAGCATGCGACTAAATCTCTTTAATAAAGACATAATAAAACAAAATATAAGTGGTTCTATAGACGATCGCTACACGCGCAACTTTTCAAATAATTCAAACTACATTGATTGATTCTCATCATCGACTTTCTCTTTCGTTAGGGAAGGTCCATTAATTATGTCATGCAAATTTGGCCCATTTTTAACCCCCCCCCCCCCCCCACTTTGCTGCATTTTTTGAATGGACCTTACATTTTTTATTTGTATGACTCGTCACAGTTTCCACACCCCTCCCTTAAAAGTGTGACATAATTAATGGACGATCCATTAATAACTTGGCTTCTTGTCGTGTTTGTCGTATTTGAATCTAGATTGTTCCCACTTTCATCAAGCTGTTTGTCAAAAATATCCAGAAATCTCGCGTCTCTTTTCAACTAATAACTTGGCTGCATTCATATTTCGGGCTAATTTTTCTACATAGTCGGTGAAAATAAAGTATTATTAAGTGGACGATAGGAACAGCTGAACAAGTTTTTGGAGCCGAGTTATTAACAAAAGAGAGAGTCGATGAAGATAATCGATTAATGTAGATTGGTCTATTTGAAAAGTGACGCGAGAAATATCTTAACACGGGCGCGGAGGTCGAAAGATAAAGTCGATGAAGAGAAGCGATCAATGTAAATTTGACTATTTGAAAAGCACTAGAATTTTAGTATCGATCAACGTAATTCAAGCTGATTTGTGAAATATTTATGTAAACCAAAAAGCGAATACAATATTACATCAATCTTAATCTACAGGAATCCACCGAATACAGAAAAAACCCCGAATAGCGTGGTGGGTGGTGCCGTCCAAGGTGCATACATAAAGGTGTTCTAATGTGTAAAATTCACGAATCAGCCATGCTGGGTTTTTGCATGGAGGAGCGACCGAGTTTGTATACAATTTGCCCTAAAACCACACTTTTCCCCCCAGTGATCTCTTCGCCCATATAGTGATAAAGCTATATCACCATGTTCTACCCACCATGGTGCCATCTATCCACACCAATTTATTGGCTGTCTTCCAACCAATTGGGCATATTTTCTGTTTACAGAAAATATAGGTTTAAAGCTTATGGTTGACTTCAATCTCATCAAAAACAAACACCAGTTCAATTGGATGGAGGACAGCCAAGAAATTGCAGTCGGTGAACGGCACCATCCACCACGCTATTCGGGGCATTCTTGTATTTAAAACAGTTGGAAAATAAATAAAATACTAGATGGAACATTTCGAAAGCACCGATACATATATTGTATCAGTTAGCCTTCTTCTTACGAGGTGATTTTTGTTATTCCACTAGTGACAGAAGGTCAACTCATATGTCGTGCAGAATATGCCTGCCTTCTTTTGATTTAGTTACGAAGTAGTGTATAAAGGTGTATACTTACCAATCTCTTGGTGAACAGCTCTTCTTTCAAATTTTGTTCCAACGCTTTGATTCCATCAACAGAAGTGATCGGTGAAAATTGAAAAGATGATGTGGCTTCGTCCTGATACTGACCAACGGTATTGGCCTGCATAGCAGCTTGTAATTTAACTTCCAGTGATGCTGCTGTCGTTACAAGCATCTTCTCAACCACGTTTAAGACGATTCGTGGAACTTCTTGGATAATCCTTTCGCATGCTTCATCTATTTTGCCGGCAATTTTGTGAATAATTCTATCTCCATCTGGCTGTGATGAAAACAAAAATATAACACATTTCATTTTTGAGGATATGCTGATGAATCTCAATCAGAGTTGTTTGCGCAGCGTGTGAGGTAAGGTGTTTTTTACTAGTAACACGCCAGCTCACGTCACACGAGTGCTAGATGAATACCAAAGGGATCAAATCTCGCTCAACTATTCAAAAGGACCATGCTCTTCATTGACTTTCTCTTTGAACCTCTATGGTAGTGTAAATGAATTTGCGGATTTTTTCAACACACAGTTCGAAGAATGAAGTTACGGTCCAGAATCCAATACAACAGCATCAAAATACGACAGGAAACTTTTTGTAGCCGAGTTATTAACAAAATAGAAAGTCGATGAAGCGAGTCGATCTATGGTCCTTTTGAATAGTTGAACGAGAAATCATGCAATATTTTTTAGAACTATAACAACATACCTGCTGGATGTTTACAACATATCCATCCGTCAACAGAGCAGTTTCTTGTTCCACTACTTCATTACTGGTAATGCTCGGAGTAGTTTTTGTCTCCATCAGAGCTTTGGGAACAGATTGCATCGGTTCTAGCTCAAATCCTTGAGAGCAGGACAAAAGTTGGCTGAGATCCGGTTGGCAGAAGATTGTCTCAAGTGGCTGAGCTATAACCTCATTCACAGTCACAACTGATGATTGGTTCAAGTTGGGATTCGGTGTGTTTGGAAAATTGACTTGTTGCGATACACCTGTATGGAAAATATAAATATGTAGAAACGGAAATGTTAAATCAATATAGACAAACAAATACTTACTTGGGATGTTCTCCAAAAGATGGTTAAAATCGTATTCCTTTCGGGCTTGATCTTTCTTCACTTTTTTCTTGCAAAATCCGAAGTATCCGGCGACTGCCCAGATAAATCAGCAGCCTCCTGCTGCGCTTCCAAAAACGTAGGTATAAACTTCCGTTTTACAGAGCAAGGCATTTTGCTCCAATTGGCACTTGGTTTTGAAGCGGCATTTTTGCGGAGCGCATCTGCTTTTTTGCTTGGTCAAAATAACTCGTTTCCGCAAACCCACTGATGCGGCACCACCGTCACAACGGGTCTCCCAGCTTCGTAGGTCTGAATGACCAAGAAATAATCACCTAAAAATAATTGGTTCGCTTAAAATAATTTCAATTTCTACTCTATATCTCAAATATATTTACCTTTACTCATTATGGATACAATCCCAGGCAACACCAGTGGATGAAAACGATGGAATTACAATAAACATAATTTATTTTGACAGCGACAAGGCAGGGACGTATTGCTAAGAGGCAGTGCTACCAGATATAATTTTAAGCGTTTATTCAGTAATTGATAGGTTTTTGTACAACACTTAATCAATAAGATGAAGTTGTTGTTTATTTATGTGTATTGGAACTTTTAAAGAGCAATTGTAAGGCTTGGGTAACTCAAAAGAAATTATGTTTTTATGTGACTGTAAACTAATGGTTATTCAACTACATAATAAAAATTAGCGACTGAAGCTTCAAATACTTCTTTTGATTGACTGAAATGTGTGATCAAGGATGGAGCAGATGGAAGCTTAGGTAGCCGTCTATCGTGGGTCATGAGTTCGAGTCTCGGATCGAATACACTCGACATTGTGTAATACATTTAATAGAGGTAATTGACACATATGAAGCATCATAAAATAATTGTAATAATTGAATATTTAACAGTTATACTGATTAATTATAATTAAAGTATAAAGAGAAAAAATCCAGCAATGCCTAAGTATGATATTTGTAAACATATATGGCAGCACCAAAGAGTACATTTTTTAAAGTATTTGTATGATGTAGCTACTCAAATTGAGGCTAATAAACTTTAATTTAAATCGTTGTTAAACAATTGTTAAGCATAAAATAATCCGTAAACGTTGTGAGTGGTTGTGACTTCTTTATCTTGTGTTAAATATCCACTGTAAGCTTCTAAATAAACAAATCAACATGAATACAGTATGCTGTACTGCACATGCTGAATAAAAGCGCTTGGGTAGAGTTAATGCAAACAAATCAGATAACTATACTACAGCCACAAATTGTAAGTGTTTTCCGAGTTTATTTAAAGCTTTATAATGGTTACTACATACTGTATACTACTGTCATACATTTTAAGTGTTTCAAAAGTTGAGTTGAAGCTTTATAATAGTTATACCAATAATTTAAGATTGTTGTAGCGTAATACATACAAATAACATTTGCTGTATAAACATAACATTTTCAAAAGTTGTTAAACTAGTGTAGTTGAATAGATTCTCCATTTTTGAGTTAACAAAAGCTGAATAGTAGTTTTGGTTTCAAATAAGATGATGATTGATAAACATGATGCTGAACAGTGGTTCTAAAGAAAAGCTTTTCCAAACTAAAATTGTTACTTGGGACACTGTTGTACCAACAATCAATACGAAACTAACGATTTTAAATTGGCTCACCACTTTAGTAGCCTATTGGTCCCAAGCAAACGATTAACGTACCCTATTCTAGTTGAAATTCTATTACTACACTATGTTTGTTTTGATTCGCTATGAAAGTTTGACAGATAACATCAGGGGTGTGTGGATTCATGCAGAACATGCAGGGGTGAGTGAAATAGCTTGGGACTGCTTGGGACCGTTGTTCTGGTACTGAGTGAGCCAAAAATAATAATGATTTTCTTCGGGACCCAGTGGTCTTAGAGTTACCTCTATGGTATAACCAACAATCAATACGAAACTAACGATTTTAAATTGGCTCACCACTTTAGTAGCCTATTGGTCCCAAGCAAACGATTAACGTACCCTATTCTAGTTGAAATTCTATTACTACACTATGTTTGTTTTGATTCGCTATGAAAGTTTGACAGATAACATCAGGGGTGTGTGGATTCATGCAGAACATGCAGGGGTGAGTGAAATAGCTTGGGACTGCTTGGGACCGTTGTTCTGGTACTGAGTGAGCCAAAAATAATAATGATTTTCTTCGGGACCCAGTGGTCTTAGAGTTACCTCTATGGTATAACCCTGCTATCCGAGCGTGGTTACTTCTGACAGACAAGAAGTTAAATTTTGACAACCTTGGCTAAGTTCTTCTCGAAAACCGGTCGATCGACAGCACAGGGAATTTCGAACATAGAAAATAACTTTTGAAACGTCACTTCTAACCACGAATTAAATTTAGCTCGGCAATTGGTTCACAGCCTTAATAGCATAGAGGTAACTCTAATGGTGGTAAGCTCCAACCGGTATTATCCTCGGATTAAATCCCGATCAAGAATGTCCGGCTGGTTTGATGTCGACATCAGAGTTAATCAACATAATTCTGAGCAAACATTTTTCAGATCATACAAACAGGGACGGTATTAAAAGTTAATCCGAGTTGGAGCTTACCGCCATAAGACTAGAAGCACAAACGAAGTGCAGACGGAGCGGCTCGAAAACTTTGGTGACTAACCTGCTATTGCAATTTTTCAGTGTACCACATGGCAACACCACAACTACTGGATTGTACCACATGGCAACACTACTATTAGATTGAACTAGCATTTTCACCAAATGTACTAGAATGTTTTGGTTCTATCTCATTCACTCTACTCAAAACCGAAATGCATAAAAAAATGACAAAATGGTACGCACTCTTTGCACACTGTCAAAGAATCATTGTACACAAAATCAACTTTGTTCAAATCAAAACAAAAAACTAACCCATCTGGTGGATGATGGCACAAGCTTCCAAGAAAATTCTATTACAGTGAACCACATTATTTTAATGGATTTCTTCGCCAGTTAGTCGTCTGTAACTTCGTTTGTGCTAGAAGGTTCTGAAATACACAGAAAAAAAAGGTGGTGGATTTTACATCCAAACAGCTGCACAGAGGTCATTCCGCCGGTTGTGTAATATTACGTTGTACGATGTACATCGATTTTACGAACAAAGTTACATCTTTTGATGTAATATTGTATCTGCTTTTTGCTATTAATTATGTAATAATGTAATAATTTTATACATCAGCTTGAATTACGTTGATCGATATTACATTTTTTTTTTGCTGTGTAACTTGCTCAACTGTTTTGGCTCAGCTCTGGTACTCTCTTCGGTCCCAAGCTAATCGATTCACCCATCGAAACATAGGAAAAAACCAATAACCCCTCATTTTACCTGTCAAACTTTCATAGCGAATCAAAACAAACATTGCATAGTACTAGAATTTCGACTAGAATGGGGTACGTTAATCGATTTGCTTGGGACCAATAGGCTAGTCAAGTAGTGAGCCAATTTAAAATCGTTAGTTTCGTATTGATTGTTGTTAATAGCCTGTACACAGAAAAAAAAAGTTGTTGAATATTACATCCAAACTGCTGCAACCAGGTAAATCCATCGGTTGTGCAAAATAACGTTGTACGATGTACATCGATTTTGCGAACAAAATTACATCTATTGATGTAATATTGCATCTGCTTTTTACAATTACATCATTATTTCATACATCAGCTTGAATTATATTGATCGATATTACATTTTTTTTTTTGCTGTGTATGGCTATTAGCAGCTAGTTGGTGAGGTGCAATGACGTTTATATGAGGTCTGGGCCAAAGGGCTTATTAGTGTTAGTGAAATGTGCAAATGTTTGGTGGTATTCGTATTTTATTGCAATGTTTATCTTTTTACACGAGACAGCTGTTGCCAGTGACGTATTTCTATCTGTTCTCAGTATGTTGGCAGTGACGTATTTCTATCTGTTCGGAGATGTTCAGCAATGTTAACAACATGTTTGCTTCTAACACCAGCAAGCTGCCTGTTGGCCCACACCTTATATAAATGTCATTGGGTGAGGTGTACAACTCTAAAGGCCGGCGCACAATGCATACGTTTTCGGGTTTTTTGACAGATAATGCATGGGCTATGTAAAAAAACCTGAAAACGTACCCATTGTGCGCCGGCTTTAAGGCCCAAGCGCAATGACAGCGGAAGCGGAACGGCAACGGCAGCGGAAAAGCCCGATCTGAGTAAGGCTACTTGTCGGATTGAAAACTAGTTAGAACCAAATCGACTTCGGTTAGGCATCTTGATGTGTTTTTTGACAACTGTCAAACTTTCCGTTTCCGTTCCGCTTCCGTCCACATTGCGTTTGGGCATTTAACGAATAGTTCGTTGCTTAATGGCTTAATGTATACAGAATTATCATTTTCATAATGTGTTTTGAATATTCTTTCAGGTTGAAATAATTTATATATAAAGCATTTATGGGGCATTCATTAGTTTCTATCGAAATGGGTAAGAATTACTCAGTTGACAAATGTCATCATCTGAGTAACCGTTACTCAGTTTCATCCATAGGCACATTTACTCAAATTTGAGTAAAAGCATGTTTACCCATTTTGGGTAACTTTCCTTTTGGCTGGACTGAGGTTGTGTTCCATTTGGTAATTAATGTATAATAATATAATGAATATAATGCATTTATTTTTCCATGCTCATTTGCTGTCACTTTGCGGAGCCGATATTCATTGTTTGGATCACAGAATTACTTAAAACTAACATTAGTAAAGCGGGAGCCGATTACTCGCGGCTATCTCGAGGTTAGGGGTAACAAATTGTAACAAATGGATGGCAGGGTAGGGATTGAGAACACAAGGTTTGGAGAGCAATGTGCTCTTTATCTCGAACTAAGTGACATACTGATGAAAAAGACAAACATGGGCAGCTAACAACTTGGGAGAACAAATTTGACACTTCGAAAATAAATTAAAAAGTTCGAAAATCTCTCTGTTCTCGATCGACCGATTTTCGAGCAGGTGTTTGTCAAAATTCATGTCTTGTCTATCAGAAATAAGTTTGCTAGAATAGCAGGTTTAATTGAAATTTTTCTATCTGTCAATTTTAAGTGAAAATTCACCAAATGGAACACAGCCTTTGTTTTGGTAATGATGAAACCATTCGCGTTGACGACGACTCCGAAACTGTTCACTCCTATACACGGTAACCAGTACATTAATGAGTAAATAAATACCCATTTTTATGTTTATATGTAGCTGTCAAAAAATGTGTAAATTCAGGCATAACATTTGATAACGACACAAAAGCATTTGTAAACACACTTTCTAAGGCCCTTTACACGCGAACCAAAGTACGCCCACGCAAACCAACAACATAATCGGATAGGGGCAACTATCACCTTTCCGAAAGAGGTATTGGTTTGCGTGGGCGTACTTTGGTTCGCGTGTAAAGGGCCTTAGAAAGTTTGTTCACAAATGCTTTTGTGCTGTTATCAAATGTTATGCCTGAATTAGAAGATCTGAAAATGTGTGAAAAAATACCCATTCTATGAATGTAGTACCAGTCAAAAAATGTGTATTTTTATCCTCATTAATAGGTAAAAAAACTTAAAACCTTGCTGCATCGTGATTCGTTGACGCACGGCATTTGTAGCTGACCGTAAAATTTTCAGAGATCAAAAGCAGAAAAATGGAAGAAATACGGTCCAAACTGGACAGTTTAACAATGGACAAGAGAGTAAGTGATTTATATTAATTTCATAGCTAAGTTTTAGAAAAAATCCTCATTATATTCAAGTTCTAGAAATCGTTACTTTGTACACATTTTGCAGAAAAAATCGTACCTAAAGATGTGTAAAAAATATTCTTCTATTGACGTTTGCTGGGCTTACACATTTTATGAATAAACCACCTTTTCACTCGTTAATGTGTTTACGCTAGTTACCTTGTACGAAAACCTCGAATTTCTACTAAGTTTCAATTAACTTTAAACGAGCGTGAACATTCAAACCCCCTTCCTTGTCCCCTTCCATGCGCGCGCCACTGGTAACCGTTAGCACAAACCACACGTTTTCTTCCTTTTGGCAGCCGGCTCATCTGTCAAATTAAACGTAAACAAAAACAATATAATTTTTTTCCGAACTACGGAAGTGCATAAAGCTCTTTAAAATTGTAAAAAACAACTTAATTTTCTGAAAAACATATTAGCAATAAACAATACAAATGACTCTGGTAAGTGTAATAATTGTTTTTATGCGAATATACTGCTTTAAATCGAAGAAATTTCGCTCACAGAAACAAAACTCAGTGCAAAGCAACAACATGTCGTTCAACCCGTTCAATGAGCCTTTGTTGGCCACGGGCGGGTATGATCACACCATCAGACTGTGGCAGCCATATTCGGGGCACTTGCAGCATATCCTCACGCACACGGATTCGGTAATATTTTGCAATCGGTACAAAAATTGCATTATTGTTGTTTTTTCTTCTTCTAGCAAGTAAACGCCCTGGACATAATTCCAAACGGGACGATCCTGGCTGCTGGAGGCTACCAGCATATCCGCCTGTACGACATGAACTTTAGCTATCCGGTTGTAAACTTCGAAAGCGTCATGAAGAATGTCACCCGTGTTGGGTTTCAAGAGGACGGCAAATGGATGTTCACCGGTGGAGAGGACTGTCGGGTTCGCATTTGGGACATGAGTTCTCAGAATCCTGCCTGCAAGCGGATGTTCGATTGTTTGACGCCGGTGAATGCGGTGTGCTTACATCCGAATCAGGTCGAGTTGGCCATTGGCAGTCAAGGGGGAAGCGTCTACCTGTGGGACGTCAAGTCGGATGTACACGAACAGCTGATTCCGGAGGTGGAATCTTCGATTCAGGACATTGCAATTAGCCCGAATGGGCATTACATGGCTGCGGTTAACAATAAGGGCAATTGCTACATTTGGAGCTTGTCTAACAGTGCAAACAGCGAAACGCAGCTCACACAGACTGATCCGAAGCTACGTATAGAGGCACACAAGAAGTACGCACTTAGGTGTAAGTTTAGTCCGGATTCGAGTCTGTTGGTGACTTGTTCTGGAGATGGTACGGCCAGGATCTATCGAACCGATACGTTCCAATTACATGTGGAACTCAAGATCGAGAAGTACTGGATGTGGGACGCTGTGTTTAGTAACGATTCCAAGTATTTGTTCACGGGTAAGTGGGATTTGTTGGTGCAATTTGGAATTATATCTGATCCATGGTCTTTGTATTATAGCTTCATCAGACGGTACCGCAAGGTTATGGAAAATAGAAACGAAATCAATCGAACGAGAGTACCAAGGACATGTGAAAGCCATCACGGCACTTGCCTTCCGGGATGGTTCAGCGAAAACTTAGATCATCAAAATTTACAAACTAGATTAAGGCGTGAAATGTATGAAGAATAAACATGAATTTTAAAAGCTAACATTAGGATTTCTTTCTATTTTTACATTCATCACATCCATCTGTACCATAAGGGAAATTGTATTTGACTTCTCTACAGAACCAAAGGGGAATATAATTTTAAAAATTAAACGAAAAACTTACATATCTAACGAAAGAACCGCACGCACTCTCACATCAATCGCTTGAAGAACTCGTTGATGTCGTCTCCGCGGAAACCGGCTTCTCCTCCCAGCGTCCGTAGCTTTCCCTTTCGGGCCGCCTTCCAACCATCGGCAGGCGATCGCAGTTCAAATGTATGCAGGATCTTCGTTACCTTCTCAAAATTTGACCCCACCGTCAGCAGCTCGTGCAGCAGATCTTCTACGCAAATTATCCCCAGGTGGCCAAACTTTTCCTCCACCTGTTTGTTCGATGTAATCGGAATCTTTTTCGGTCCCTTCTCGCCTTGCTGCGGCTTGAACAACCCGTACTTGTAGATCAGCTCCCGGACGGTGGAAGTGGTCGGGTAGCCCCAGATCACCCACGGTTCCACCATCTTCAGCATCGCATGAACTCCCTCGGTTAGCTTCAGCAGCACAGCCCTCCGTTTGTATGGCAGACCCAGCTTGGCCAGGATGTGCATCACTTCCTTGTTGGCAATGAACTTACCCCGATGACGGAATACCAGAATCAACCGACCGTGTTCGATAGCTTCGTTTTTCAACTGAATACCGGTTTTCAGGAAATTCCTCTTCACCCGCATCGAGTCTCGTTCCGCCTTACGGAAATCGGCGATAAACAACTCCGGTTTGCAGAATTTCTTCTTGCGGTTCTCCGGCAACGGCTTCCGTACCCATTGGTTGGCATCGCGCTTGATTCGGGCTTTGCGCTGTGCCAGGATGCTGATCTCCTCCGCCGGCAACTTATTCGGGACGGCGTACTTCTCCATCTTTGTGTGTGATTGAGCGTGGAAAAACGAAAGAAAATTGTATTTTCCTGATGGCGACGCACTATTTTCCACGGCACCGACTGCGATTCCGATGCGAGCACGTTTATTTGTTTTGAATGAGAGATGGAGACGGTTTCGGAAAATGACATTTGCTGTTGGTCGGTAAAGCAGATTCGGCTGCAATATACAGTAGCGGCCGTTCATCGATGGACGAAAATTTGAATATGCACCCAACAGGGTTGTGTCCAGTTCACTCAAAAGATTTTCAAATCTTAATAGATTAAAAGTTACGCTAAATTGCAACTCTACTGACCGACGCATAGCTTGATTTAAAGAAAGAGAATTAAAAATGGATTATACATCGTAATGTATTTTCTGCTTGTATTCAATCCTAGTATTAACTTGGTTGGTGTATGTTTAGCTGTCATTAGGCTTTTATGATCATTTTGAGTGAATTGGAAAACAAAATATATAAGGATACGTTGAAAGTTATTTTTATTCTTTTTCATACATATATACAATACATTTGATTTTAATACCGCTACCATCACCAGCGGAGTCAACAAATTTCTGGGCCACCATCCAGGAGATAAGAAGGGTTTTATATATAATGCCACTTCACTGAGTTTTCACTCGTTGGTAGAGAAGCAACCTGAAACGGATATTAACTTCATATCGTTTCGAATGACCTGGCAGGAGTTTCAGCTGAGCAGAATGGTCGTAAAGTGACTTGCAAGTGGGAGATCGCATACTAACGAAACATACCAGGAAGGAAAATAAGCTGTGTGCTGACTTTGCACCGAGCTTTGTACCTGAAACGTTAGAAGTGGAGCTGATGTCACCATTCGATCAACTAAAACGGGAAAGAAATTCAGAAGAAGCTCAGCACATCTGAAAGCACTTCCCAGTGCAGAGCCTAACAATACTGATCCACCCGAATTTACAAATTCGTCGGAGCCTCGTTTGCTGCTCAAGAGCAGCCACCGTGAAAAGGAGGATGATGATACCATAGAGGTAACTCTAAGACTAGTAGGTTCCGAAGAAACGTGCTCAACTTTTTGGCTCAGCTCTGGTACTATCTTCAGTCCCAAGCTTATCGATTCACCCCTCGAAACATAGGAAATTCCACTAACCCCTCATTTTATCTGTCAAACTTTCATAGCGAATCAAAACAAACATAGTGCAGTACTAGAATTTTGACTAGAATGGGGTACGTAATCGATTTGCTTGGGACCAATAGGCTACTAAAGTGGTGAGCCAATTTAAAATCGTTAGTTTCGTATTGATTGTTGCTAAGATTTTGTTTTCGTGTTGGTAAATTTTACCGAAATCAGAACAGCTGAACGTTCGGTAAAATTTTGACCTTCATTTTAAAGGCTATTGAACTTGAAAATAATTTCAAAATATGTTCAACCTTGCTTAAATGCTCGCTTAAATGATCAAATCTTGTCATTTTAGTGGAGATTTAGTTTCAAAGTAGCTGAAAAGCAATTGAATTGAATTGCATAAATTTTACCGAACAGTTCAGCTGTTCAGATTTCGGTAAAAATTACCGAAGTCGGCGATAGTTTCTAAGTGTGTACGGGGTATAAACATAGAGGTAACTCTAAGACTAGTAGGTCCCGAAGAAACGTGCTCAACTTTTTGGCTCAGCTCTGGTACTATTTTCGGTCCCAAGCTAATCGATTCACCCCTCGAAACATAGGAAAATCCAATAACCACTCATTTTATCTGTCAAACTTTCATATCGAATCAAAACAAACATTGTGTAGTACTAGAATTTTGACTAGAATGGGGTACGTTAATCGATTTGCTTAGGACCAATAGGCTAGTCAAGAAGTGAGCCAATTTAAAATCGTTAGTTTCGTATTGATTGTTGGTTCTTCTGCATTAAACCTAAGAGGAAGAGGAGACTCTTACTGTTTTATCTATATCTCTATCTATATCTATATCTATATCTATATCTATCTCTATCTCTATCTTACGCACTTAAAATCGGCCCATCACGAGCTGGTTCACGTTTGACAGAAAAGTGGTTCGTTTTCGCCCCCGTATTGCTTCGAACGTGTCAAAATCAATATTTCTAATTCTGACTACATGGAAAACAAAACATTGGTATTGCACATTTTTCAAGATTACTAAAAATCTGTGATTCTCGGTAGGAAAAGTGAAAAATCGGTAGTTTTTAACCTTTCGTCTGTGAATCGGTAGGCATCCCGAAAATCGGTAGATCTGGCCACTCTGTTTATTTCCTCACTCATCACTGCAAATAAACTTCACGTAATGTTCACTGGAAAAGGTACGTAGATATTTTCCATCGTACCTTTCAGGTGAATATTACGTGTTTTGGGAATGAAATCTCGAATGAAATCCCATTTAAGTGATACATATAAAAATCAAGTGTTTTTCACGTAAATTTTATCGGACCTACAGATGATATTCAAATTGGCAACACTTAAAAGTTACGTGAAATTTCAAGTAAGGTTCACAGGGTTTTATAGTTATATTTAAGTGAGATGGTGGTAAATTTCGATTTATTTTTTCAAATAGTATATGAAGCCATTTATTTTAGTGACACATTTATTTTCCAAATGTTTTATTAAAACAAAATATGTATTAAGGGGGTATTCCCGATCTTTTTTTTCAAAAAATCAAATTTTTTTTTTTCACGTTTTTTTGTACTTTAGACTATATACTTTCATCCCCCCAAGCCGTTTTCCGATCAGCGAATTCGGTGTCCAGGCATAGCTGACTAATGGTAAGAACCCCCAAATGGTTTTAACTAAAGTCAAAACTTTAAACGCGTTTTTCTCGAAACCACATTTTTTTTATCGGGCGAAGATTTTTCTCAGAAACTATAAGAGATATTGACTTGAATCTTTGCGCATTTTGTTCCTTATTAAATTCTTTGGAGCTTCTCCCACTTTCAGCCAAAAATATTAACATTTAACATTGTTTGAAGCACCTTAAAGTTGCAAAAAAGCGGGCTAAAAATCGCCTGTTTTTTCATATGGCCGCCATTTTGTTAATTTGCAAGATTTTTTGCTGCCAACGGGAGAAGCTCCAGAGAATCTTATGCAGATTATTATTTCATCACGAAATCTGTTTCAGATGAAGCCGTTCCAGAGAAAAGTCTTCGCCCGTCCAGGCGTTTGCGGCGAACAGGGGTCTGTTTGCCGCCATTTTGTGACGTCAATAATGTCTTTTTTTATGTCGAAAAAAATTTATTTGTAAACTTTAATGTTCAATAAACAAGAATCCCAAAGAGTTAGGCGCATTACTATTCATTTTCCTTGAAAAAAATTAATTGAAAAACAGGCCGAAAAAAGGCAAAAGATTGGGAATACCCCCTTAACTGGTGGGCCACCTATTTTATGATTTCACTCGATCTACTGCCTGTTTTTTCTTCATGGCACATGGACTGGAACTGCTTCTATAAGGACTCACGTTTTTTACTTTAAGAAAGGGCTTCAGTTTCTGGGAGCTCGATATTTTCATTAAGATCGCTGATTTCTGTATAAAAGAATTTAAAGCGAAAATTGATCATCGTTCTATTTATTCAATGTAAATAGTTGATTCTTACCATTTATTTTAGCCAGGAACTGATGATCTGGAAGCTTTAAAAAAATCCCCCATTTGCTGGAATAATCATATAGCTCGCCAATTGAAATTATAAGTAGCCCAAATAATCTGATCCTGCATTCGCTATTTCATTTCTGGATTAATGAAAAAGAAGATTATTTTCTGAATTCCAATGAAAGTTAAAAACTGGGCTGTCTGGCAATCCCAAATCTTCCAACAATGGGGAATGCCTATACTTTCCTCTGTCACCATCTTGAACTTCGAGGTTACACACAGAACATTTTCACACCATGAGATCACGTAAAATGTATGTGAATTTCACATAACTTTCACCAGCATGACACATGGACTTGACCAGTAAATCCAGTAAATTTCATCACTAAGTCGTTGAATTTTACGTATAGCATGTAAATCCTATTATATCCTTGGTTTTAAGAAGTCACCTGCATTTTCAGGTAAAATTTACGTTTGTCATAGGTTCAGTGCAGAATTTACAGTTTTAGCACAGACAAACAGACGTATCACTTTGAACAAGTTTTTCTTGAAAACATAGTATCTCAAAACATAGGACCTCAGTAACGACATCTTTCAGGCTTCTCGCGGAAAACAAGCTTGCTCCCTAACTCGCAAACAATATTGCATGAAAGTTCTATAGAATGTATAGAAACGTCAAAGTGATCCGATGCCAGCGCTGCGGCGAGTAGTTCGCGAAACTGATAATATTCAAATCTACCGTTAAATGCGTGAACGAAGATACACATTGAAGAGTTACGTCTGTTTGTCTGTGGTTTTAGTTTCTCTTTTTGCTCTCACTAGCTCACTCATATTTCTAGATGTTGAGGTAAGAGGCGGCATAATTTCACCGTCTACAACTCCTAAGTTCAATACATTCCTTCCGGCTCCGACTCCGACTCCAACTCCTTGAATACGACTACTCAGCTCTAGCTTCTACTCCACAGCCCTTTATTAAATAAATAATACGAAAACATTATTATGCACCAACGATTCACACTATTCATACATATGATAATTAATTCGGATGATCAAATTTAACTAATTTTCAAAAAAAGAATCAGAATAATTTCAAGGAGAAAGCAGGTAGTCATATATTTTGTTATCGGAATCGTCGTCTTGTGTCATCCTTGTTAATTACTAGTGCACTGTTATCGTAGTTCTACCGGGATCTTGTCCTTGTTCCTTTGCCAGGTTCTTATTGTGGATGGTTTCGTAGTAGATTTCGTTGTAGAGTGTATCAAATCTTGCAAAACAATCCGGAATCTTGGTAGAAGCTAGTAAGATCCTTGCTGAGCGCTGATTTTTACAGTCCTCGACATGTACCCATTTGTCGGTTTCCCCCTTTATTTTTCTCAAGGAAGTGGATCCACATTTTGATTTCTATTTGGTGGACCTCCTCTTATGCCACAGTTACAGGTCTGTTGGCTGTTGAGCGGTCTCAATGTCACATAGGGCCTTATTACGGGTGTCACTACACGGTGATAAGCAAGTGATACTCAGAATAAGAGCCGTGATTACCGTACAAATCAAATGGGAAT